GTGGTTTGCCATTGCCATCCATAAGTAGGCTTAATGAATTGTGTTTTCGTTTCAATTCTTGTTTTTTATGGGTACATAATTTCCAAGAGCAGATGTGGAGCTTTCATTGTTCAGTGTGTTTCTTAGTGCTGAATGCTGAAATGCAATTTAATAATAACATCTTACGTGTTTACTTAATATTACTGTTTTTGTCTGTTTGACGGAAGGCGAAAAGAGGGTTCAAGGGAGAGAACATATAGATTTGCTTGTTAATTTAAATTGGCTTCACACCTGTCTGTCTCTTGAAATCTAAACATGATTCACATTTTGTTAATTATATTATAACGTTAAAATATCAGATGTTGTGTACTTTAAGAACTAAAAGAAAAAGCTCACAAGTTTATTTCCAGTTCCTATGACTAATTTGAGTTGTTTCTCCCTTCCTTTCTCTACATAAAAAGTGTTTCAGACCATGCAAAGAAGAATCTCATGACTGTAGCAAATTTAGGAGTTGTATTTGGACCAACGTTAATGAGGCCGCAGGAAGAAACTGTGGCTGCCCTCATGGACCTGAAATTTCAGAATATTGTGGTTGAAATCCTAATTGAAAACCATGATAAGGTAAATAGAGGAAAGCAGAAATGGATTTGCTTTTTATTCCAACTTATATAAGGTTTTATGTAGGTGACCATTTAAATTTATGCATTTTAAAAGCTTATTTACTCTGTTTTCTTACCTTCAGTCGGGGGTATTTTTTGGTGCTTGTGTAGCCAAATGGGAAACCATTTGCCCACAAGAAATATTAGTAGGCCTGGGTAAATTTAAGGGTTTGTAGAGGTATAAAATATCTTTAGAAACAATAAGTAATGGTACTGGGATATAAAAAACTAAACCAGTGGGTACTGAATGTGCGGAGAGCCAATCATTTTGTAGTCTGAATAGCATAATTCACAAACAGCAGTGATGTACCATAAGTCTTATTGAATCCCAAGACTTGCAGATATGGAGGAACACTAAGAATAGCCCAGCACCATCTGAGCTTGATTAGTATAACTGTTGGTGAAACTAGAAGCATATCTTAGTTAATGAAGCCTCTGAAACCTAGTGTGTCATGAGGACATTTAAACAGACAGCAGTATAGTAGAACCAGGTTTTCACTATACGTACACTGTTATCATGATAAAAGTGGGGGGAAAGGTAAGGCAAACATCCTTTCATTGCTGAAAATAGGCAACATTCTCAAGCCTCCTCTGTTTAATGATTTGTCTGTATAATATGCTGTTTCAATACTGAAATTATATGTGTTCTTTGGTATGCGTTTTTCCTAGCTCTATGTTCTTGAGGTTGTAGGAAAGGCTGTAGACCATGTGGACCAGATCAGGGACCATTTAGAACACAGTTAAAAGATGACAGTTGAGGGATGACCATTGAAGATGACATTTGGAAGTACATAGTTATAAAGGAGAGTTGTACAGAGTTGTATAGTGTTGAAGAGACTGATATAGACTGAAAGTTAAAGACACAAAGCAAAATGTTTTAAAGTTTAAACTAACAAGAAATGAGCCTGTATATTTAAATACATGAAGTTGTGAGTAAAACAAACATGTTATTTTAAAGAATTCTACTTGAATTTTTGTCTCCTGAGAGCATGTAATAGAAACAAGATATTTATGAAGACTAGTTGTTTTTGAACACTAAACAACACTTCTGAAGATCTGCTATATCTGTCTGTCTGTCTATATAGTGCATTGGCATAGTCTTTGTTCCTAATAGTTCAGAGTCACTTGGAAATTAGTCTAGCAGCTGAAAACTAATTGCCAAGCACAAATACATGTGGATACTATTTCTTTTTTAAAAAGATATAAATATTAGGGTTTTCCAAATTGGTCATAATCCTCCATATGGTTAGGTGACTAGCGATTATCCAATATCCAATGTTCATTTTGTCAGAAATTTTCAGATGGTCTATTGATGGTTCAAAAATGTTTTGTATCCAATATTCATTTTATCAGAAGTTTTCAGATGGTCTATTGATGGTTCAAAATGTTTTTGTTTACATATCCAAGATTTCCCTGATCTGATTGTTTTATTTATTCATATTGTTAGTTTTGACTTAAAATATTCCCTGAAAATGATGAACTGCTCTTCTTTTATCCATATCTATATTCTTTTTATATTGTTTCTGCGTCTGGTAGAAGTTTTTCTGTTAATAAGTAAGTGGAGTATCCTACAAATAGTCATAGCTGATTTCCTGAAACACCAAGGCTATCTCTTACTGTAACATTATGTTTTGAGTGATTTTTGTTCTTATTCATGTATGAATAGTGTATGGCTACCTGCATGTGATGCAGCTGTATCTACTGATAATGTAAAAATACTGAAAAGGAGGAAAATATCACAACCCCCATTTCCCAAATGCAATGCAATAACCACAAATGTCTAATCTCTTTTTGCTGGAGTATTTTCTTAGTTATGCAGCTTATCCTTTTCTCTATGAAAAGATGTTTTTACTTCTTTTCATGGTCTCTGTGAATATGCACAAATGAATTTAACTGCGCCTGCACAGGTTCCAATGGAAAGCTTTTCCAAGCTCTAACTTTAAATTTGGGTCGTAACCCCGCCCACTCCTCCCCAGGACATAAAAGGTGTCCTGGCCAGCGGTTCCCCGGTTACTTTTTTCCCACTACCGCAGCTAGTTCAAAAGCTTATCTCTTGCACAAGTTGCTCCGCAAATATCCTCGACTCAGATGGACACTCACTGTGCCTCTTCAGCCTTGGAGAAGGCCACGTTGTTGGGGTATGTCGGCACTGCCAGGCTTTTACTGCACAGGCCAGAAAGAACAGAGAAGTGAGGCATCGTTCTCTGTTATACCAGAAGGCTCTTGTGCTGTCGATGTCTGAGACACTTTCTGTCACATCCTCCCAAACGTCAATGCCATCAAAGAAATCGACAACATTGACTAGAAATCTACATCTAAATGGCCCACAAAAATGTCAACCCCTTTGATAGTGGCGTTGACATTGGATTTGATCATGTCAATTCAATCAACACACTCCATAACTCCTGCTCCACCACCCTCATCCTCACTGAGGATCATGTTTAAAACATCTTTTTCACTGTTATTTATGCTCGACTTTCGTTAACATGTATATTCCAAAGTCTTGATATTTTTCAGCACTGTTGATTCCAGTGACCTAAGCTACTTGCTGACTTTTGAGCCCATTCGTTTTGATTGATATGGCTACTTCACTTTAATGCTAATCTTTCCCTTATAAGAACCGTTTTATTCTCTTCTGAGTGGTTATTATGGATTTTGAACAAGCAAAAGTTTTCTACTTGTCACTTTGTGTTCTGCTCAGTAAACCTGAGTCCTGTTTTTGCACTACCTTGGTGTCAGTTTGACATGTGTCCCACCTTCCTGCATCTTAAGTTTGCTAGTCACCATTTCTGGAATTCACAGAGACGACGAAGAAAGACAGATTGCTTATCTGTAACTGTGTTTCTTCGAGTGATCCTCTGTGAATTCACACAAACCAGCCATTCATCCTCTACTCATGCAAACCTCCACCTAGCTGCTTGTGGCTTAGGAACTGGGGAGCTGCTGGCCAAGGCACCTTTTATGACCTGGGGAGGAGTGGCTTGGAAAAGCTTTTTTTTTTGGAACCTGCACAGCTGCAGTTAAACCCATTTGTGTGAATTCACAGAGGAACTCTGTCTTTATTTGCAACTTTCTCCATTACTTACATCTTGTCTTAGTTCCCATTGCCCACTACATTCTTTTCCCTGTTTGCCATTTTCTGGCAGAAATATGTACTATTAAAACCATCCCTCTTTTGTACTCCTATCCCTTTCCCTCACAGTGTGGGCTTCAGCTTGTATTGTATATCATTAGAAGAAAAATCCCTGTACCAACATGCTTTATAAATATGAGAAATACTATGTAAGACGTGCATTGAATTCTGATTTCTGTTATCACATTCAAAAAATGCCTGTTGGTCATCTAACGTACAGCAGAGTAAGGCACCTAAAGTAAAAGCTTCACTGAATCTAAGTAGATCTGCATCTTATCGATGACTCAGTGGGAGACCTCTTGAGAATCCTATGTTCAATTCCATGGGAGAAAGGAAATATAAATAGATAATGAAGTGATGTGATTGGGTTACTGAAATGAGGGATGGTGGAATTTATAATGTTGTTATATGCCTTCAATTTGATTCTGACTTACAGTGACCCATGTTTGGGTTTTGTTGGAAAGATTTATTCATAGGAGGTTTGCAGTTGCCTTTCTCTCTTAAACGGAGATATGATGATTTAGCTGAGGTTGTCCAGTGGGTTTGTATGGCTAAGTGGGACTTGAATCCTGATATTTCATAAACCTAGTCCAAAATAGAAACCATTATACTGTGCTGGCATTTGTATGATTGAACTACATGTATAATTATTCAAAGCACACAATAGACAGTGCCATTTTTTTTAAAGGAAATGCTAAAAATTGTTAAAGTGACCTTAAAAATATTCAAAAATGGCACCTCTACTCCATTCTTCCAATTTGGGATTCTTGCATCTTACTTTATTAAGTTGAATATATAGGTAGGGTCTACTAGTTGAGAGAGATCAGGGAAAAGACAAATATATTAATCCAGAAAGTGGTCCTCTGTTTGCTTGAAAATAGCCCTTAAAGACTGAAGACATGCTTTAAAAGTAGTCCAAACTTGCACTAACTTGAAATGGTTGTAAATAAAGCAAAATAGCAGTGATGAGCTCTTGTGAAAATTGCTAACTCAGCCAAAAATAAAAATAAAATCTACTGAAGCTTTACAGATTAATCCTAGCACAATTGCAGGTGAAAATAAGCATTAATAGTTTGTGATTGCAAACTTTGTGAACTGCTGAATTGGTGCTTGTAAGCATTACTTACAAGTTATGAACAACATTTATGATAAAAAAGAGGCTCAAATGTATGAATTTTGCTTTCTTTTTATTGATCCAAATACAGTGGGCCTCTGCATCTGTGGGTTATAGATCTGCAATTTCCACTTTTTGGGATTGTCATGTACCATACATAAAGTGGTGACAAAATGGATGAGGGCTTCGCCACCATTTAATAACATAACGTCAATATTAATGTGATTATCCACTTTTGGGGGGCATCCACATGGGCTCCCAGAACTGAAGTCCCGTGGATCCAGAGTGCCCACCTCTTAATTGAAACAAATGACATCAAGATTTTTTTTTGCATTGTCTTAGGAATTTCATGTTGGTTTGAGTGTTAAAGTAGCAATCTCAGTGTTTTATTTTAAAAAGAGCATGAAAACATGTGGATTGTCTTCTAGTTTGGCTACCTGCTTGGGATTCTAAGAAATATAACATACATTTTACTTTAAAATCTATAGCTGCTCTGTAATTGTAACATTGCTTCTTCATTTGCCAGAAAGTATTAGTTTGGCTGAGTTTTATTTTCCATGAGTACTTTCACTCTTCAAGGCTGCCAAAAAGCTTATTTTTAAAATCACGGAGAGTTTTACTGTGGTGGATTGACTAAACTGGATGCAGTTCATTATACCCACATTGACAGACAAATATCTATAGGATCATTAGTACATCAACTGAGATTAAAGGT